CACTATTCCGATGATATCCCGGACGTGAGTCTGAGCGAGATTAGAATGGCTTTCCAGCACCTTAAAAACGGCAGGGCCCCAGGCGAGGATGGAATTACAGCGGAGCTTCTGAAAGCGGGTGGAACTCCGGTACTTGAAGTCCTTCAGAAGCTCTTCAATTCCGTCCTCCATGGTGGCACTACTCCAGAGGCGTGGAGCAGAAGTGCGGTGGTCTTGTTCTTTAAGAAAGGCGACAACGCTCTCTTGAAGAACTACAGACCGATTTCCCTTCTGAGCCGCGTCTACATGCTGTTTTCGAGAGTCATTACGAATCGTCTCGCACGCAAACTCGACGACTTCAAGCCTCCCGAACAGGCTGGTTTCCGAAAAGGCTTCAGTACCATAGACCACATACATACCCTGCGGCAGATTGTACAGAGGACCGAAGAGTACAATCTGCCACTTTGCCTGGCGTATGTGGACTATGAGAAAGCCTTTGATTCCGTCGAAATTTGGGCGGTGCTACAGTCCCTTCAGCGGTGCCATGTTGACTGTCGGTATATCGAAGTGCTGAAGTGTTTGTACAGTAGGGCTACGATGGCTATCCGAGTACAGAACCAGAGTACGAAACCTATCCAACTGCAGAGAGGTGTAAGACAGGGTGACGTTATATCCCCGAAACTCTTCACCGCTGCGTTGAAAGACGTTTTCAAGCTACTGGACTGGAAAGGATACGGTATTAACATCAATGGCGAGTACATCACTCACCTTCGATTTGCCGACGATATAGTCCTTATGGCAGAATCGCTGGAGGACCTTAGCACTATTGAATTACATCGTTATCAGTTATTTACAACGTCATTTTCGCAATTAAAATTACAATATTAAAAAAATAAAAAATAACTGAAATTATCATACAGTCCTACTTTCCGTGGTATCGTCCCAAGAATGCTGGCTACGTGTCCTCTCTGAATGGCTATACTTAGCCTTCAAGCGAGGAAACAACAAACTAAACAACTTCTTATTACCAGCAGCGATGATCAGTCGCAGATACAGTTTTTAAGAACTACACCGCACGTGCACCCTACGGACCAATAGTCTATACAGCAAATTGCACAAATATGTACTCATCTTCTAGATACTCTGGGCTATTTACTTAGTTCAGTTGCCTCTAATGCCACCCCTGCTTTAGACGAGGTACCCCTGAGATGGGATGCTGTCAAAGTGTTCGCAAGTAGTATCGCACACTAAAGCTTTATTTCTCTCTCTCTCTCTCTCTCTCTCTCTCTCTCTCTCAAGCAACCAAACCCATACTGTCGGGTCTCCTGGTATCGTCTCTAAATATTCTACAAAGATCTTAAATCGACGCAACACTCCCTTCCCTTATCCCCTCGTCTGTACAAACGCCATATTCTGACGTCTCAAATAATATGCGCATCTGTCAAACGCCATAATATGGCGTCGAGTGATAGCAAACTATTTGTAACATGTATATGATATATATAACATATATATCTGTTGTGCATAATCTGATAGCTTATTTAATAACGTTTCCATTGATATATGATTTCAATATACTTACTTAGTATATATATATATATATATATAAATATATACTTAGTATACTTGTTATATACTAAGCACTTCGGAAAGCGCTCGACAGATGCGCCATATTGGCCAAAATGACCCCGACATTCGAGTGGTTATGACTCCACCTCGACTACAGCGGTACAGGGAAAGGAATCTCCTCTAGCAACAGCCCACTAACACACATCCAACGTGGCTCGACATCATCAGGCAACCTTTCGACACTTGGCTATGGCCCTTGAGTTTGGTGGAAAATGAGGAAAAAAAAACATTCGAAATAATAATCTAATACTTTTATACTTGTACTGGTACTACCAGAAAAAATTGTCGGTATACTGCACTTTTTCAAAAACGGTGCAGTTCTCATATCTAATAAAACAGTCGTCTGTGAAATGTTTGCAACAAATATGATCATTTTGTTTATATTATCAAATAGTTTTAATTTGTTTAATATTTGCTGCAAATTCACTTACTTGTGAAATGTTATACCACTTCCCTTTTGGTCACGAGTTTTACAGATTATGCACACTCTCATTATTAATAAAAATAATTTTTATTATGTAACTAATATTATACACAATCAAACAACATAAAATACTTTCGTTTTTTAGTTAAAAAATTCAAAATACAGACTTATTAAATAAGACAATATAAATAAGACAACAGACTTTGGCATATTATGTCAATTTTATTTTTCAAGACATCCTTTAGCGGCGCTTCAAATTGGCACAGTCATTTTGTATGGTATAGCCAGTCCAGCGTACTTGTATATATAGAGGTCAGTGCATAACCCAAACAGAACATTAACGTACCATTATAACAAATCACAGAAACTCGCACCCTTTTTTAGTGAGAAACCTTTAGTCATTTCGATTCATAATAAACTCAAACAGAGAACTGAGACCTCTTGCTCGCGCCGTCAACAATCTCGTTAAAGTATTATATTTTTTAAAGTATACCTTCTTAACTATAAATATTTTACTGTCTTGACGAATTTACATTGCATGGTACTATTAGGCAGGATCTGGGTGTGTGAGTTCTTACTTAGGAGACTTATGGCAGTGTTTAAATATATCCACAAGTCATATTACGCTGATACTTTGGATTTAATTTTGCTTGATAATTTATTTTTGGAGCAATTTTTTAGAAATGGCTAACTCAAGATTAAACGAAAATTAAATTATCAGAATATTCGTAACCTTAGGACAAAAAGTTTCGAATTTAGACAAAACTAATTATGTAATGACCTGGATGTTATTACTATTACTTTACTGAATAACTGTTTTACTCATAAGAAAATATGTGCGTTAAAAATGTTTTACGTATTAAAAAATGGTGTTTTGAAAACAAAATGATTAAAATACCTTTGTGTTCTAGAAGAAGAAAAAAAAAGTCGCAGGCCGCTAACGATTAGTACTTATTATTAAAGTAACTGATTTTTGTACCACCTTGCTTTTTAACGATGAAGTAGGTTAGCCTTCATATTTTGTTGTTATATTATTGAACTATTTGTATTTGAGATTCCGAATGAAACAGTATTAGTAATTGAGCAAAGATAAAAAAGCGGATCGAGAATTAGACTAAAAATTTAGACCTCGACTGGAGAGAATTGGGGCCTTCAGCGGCATGTAGCTCGAGCGAAGCGAGAGCGAGTGACGCAGAAGCCCCAATCCTCGCCTACTCACCTTAAAAGTGTTTGGTAGGAAATGGAAGCTGGTACTACGGTCGTCAATCCGTGAAGCGCGACGATCGCAGTATGTGCCAACAGTAGGAAGGCTACGTTTTTATAGCATATGGGTGATACACGAGCGCACCTTCACCTGATGGTAAGTGAGTGCAATCACCTTTAGACATCTACATGTTGTAACAACGATGAAGTATCAAGATTCAGGTGCGTTGTCACTCCTGAGGACTTAGATGGAATGCCTCGTTACCGGTTAAAATGGTCTCGGGTCCTATACACTCACCATACCAAACATCAGCATTAAGCCGCTATTTTACGTTGGTATTGTTACGAGCTTGAGGTTCGTGACAATAAAAATTGCCGATAGAATTACCTAAATTAACACTTTAATTTTCTTTAACAAATTAAAAGTTAAAACACCAATAATTAATCACACTGATTCACTTTATTTCGCTCCGAAGCTTCGCTTGTCTCGCCAAATTCAATACTTCCCCGATCGCATCTTGCAGCGGCTATAAATACAAATTAGCACCGAAACATCCAGAATATTCAAGTAAACACGCGCAAGGGCTTCTATAAGCTTAGTTCTTCGTTCCGAGACTAGATGGCGCTGTCGGTTAAAAGATTAGTGATGTCATTTTCTGGAAAGCTCCCCTCGCTCTCGTCCCTGACACTAGATGTCGCAAGTGCCGGATACATGACGTCGACTTAGGCGCGTAACAGTATTCTGTAAGAGCGTGGTCCTACCCCGGTTAACCAACCTATTTGTGCTGCAGCTATGTATACATATTAGTGATGGGCCGAATATGGATTTCACCGAATACGAATGTTCGGTAAAATTTTTAAACTGAATATTCGGCCAAACATTATTCGGCAGGATAACCTCAGGACCCAACCAATTTATGTCGAAACTTGTTACCGTAAAGCGTGCGGGATTAGTGCCGAACCCTGCCTCTCGCTCCCCACACGCCAAACCTGACAGTTATTGCATCATCTAGTACTGAGCAAATTGCCGGCACATGCTAATGTTTTGACTATTCTTGTGATAAAAAAGTATTTCGTTGTTTTATTCTTAGTGAAAATTGATAATTATATAATAAAAATGAGCGACAGGAGTTTTACTATTTGGACTTATTTTAGAGAATCTGACGACCAAAGTAAACAAAATGTACTAATGTAATGTAATGTTTCTTTGTTTGATTCCAAAAACATTTTATCAAGTTTCTATTTGCCATAATCGGAAATAAATCTACAGTGCCTCAAAAACATAAATGTATAGATTTTATACATTTGAGGCACTCTAGAGTAAGTAGATTTAACCCGTAAGTAAAATACACTTTCAACAGTAAAAGACATCGCATTAGTCAATTCGTACATTTCAATACATTAGACACTATGAAAACGAATATTCAGTAATTTAGCCGAATACAAATATTCGGTAAAGCTGCAGAATATGCCGAATACCGAATATAAAACGAATATTCGGCCCATCTCTAATACATATATAGCATAGCTGTAACGTGGTAGAGCACCAAAAGCACCCGTCAATAAAATAATATTGTGTTAAGCAATAGCCGCGTCCAGACCGGATGAGCGCGGCTCTCGAGTCAATAGTTCGGCCGGTGTGGACGGCGCTCGGGCTTCCTCGGGCACACGTTGGCTCGGTTGGCCGTAACGACACTCGCGAGCCAGTGAATCAAAAATGGATAAAGACAGTATTCGCTTAATACAACTTTACGGAAGCTTCAAAATGTTATGGGATTCGAAAGATCCAGATCATTTAAATAAAAGCAAGCGAGAAGATTGCTGGAGGAAGATTTCTAAGGAAATGAAGTTACCTATACCCGAGTTGAAAAAGAAACTTGACTCATTGACAGGTTCATACCGACGCGAAAAGTCAAAGCAGAGAAAAAGTAATATCACTGGTTAAGGTAAGGATTCTTTTATTTAATTATAGTGAATGTTAGATTAGTTAATCTCATTATCAAATATCAGTATGTACAACATTTACTATTGGACACACCATAGGAAACGAAAAATAACCTACAACATCTACATATTTGTTACAGGCGCTGACGAAATTTATATATCGAAGTGGTTTGGTTTCAAATATTTTGACTTTATGTCAAATAAAGATGACACAGGAATTACAAAAGAGGGCGGAATAGATATCTTAAGTCCTTTATTTATGTTTATTTTCAAAATTAGTTGAACATTAATATTGATGCTGCCATGGAATTATTCCGTTTGTTACAAAATGTGTTGCTAAATGTAGGCGAATATCTTTAGCACTAACAGTACCTCTGCGCGGAATGGCCGTTAGAGGTAATAGTGCTGTAGATGGAATATTGTTTCTCCATTGACCTGGAATAAATGAACCATCAACTTTTCTATCATAGTATTCTGGTGGAATAGAATAGTTATTTCTTCGTAAGTAATTATATAAATACACTGTTGCTAAGACAACTTTTGTAGCTTTTTCTGGCTCTAGGAGGATAGGTTTCCTAAGGACTCTGTAGACTGAACTTAAAATACCAAAGGCATTTTCAACGACTCTGCGAGCTCTGCTAAGTCTGTAATTAAACACTTTCTTTGGAACCCGGCTCTGGATTACCTTCAAATGGTTTTTAGGATATTTGGTAAGCATAAAAGCTTTGCCGCCCAATATGAAATATGGTATTTTCATTATGTACGGTATTTGTAGTATCTGCGCTTCAGGAATGTTCAGATGACAGTTTTCTAATTTTCGATATAAAATCGTATTTTTAAAAACTTGGAAATACGCCCTTTACTTCCGACATTAAGAAACACGAATTTGTAATTAGCATCCACGAGAGCGAGGAGCACTATACTAGGAAAATTCTTGTAGTTGTCGTAATCAGTACTTATATTGATGGGTCTTTGAAGAGATACGTGTTTCTCGTCCATAGCCCCTGTAACATGTGGGAAGTTCCATTTTATTTCAAATTCATTTGATAGTGCTAGCCATTCTTCTTCTGTGGACGGTGTCTGCAAATAACAAAATAAACATTATTTTTACAGAGCAATCCTCAACAACCAGGACCATCACAACAACCGACGCCATCGCCACAACAACCCGAGCCCCACAAGAACCCACGCCATCCCCACAAGAACCCACGCCATCCCCACAAGAACTCACGCCATCCCCACAAGAACCCACGCCATCGCTACAAGAACCATCGCCATCGCCACAACCATCGCGAAAGAAAATACGGCTGAATACGAATGCACAAAATGATTCTCTTGACAATATATTGAAGGACATTTTTGCCATAATTGAGAAAAGTTCAACTTCCATAAATGATCCATGTGTAGCATTCGATAATCATATTGCACATGAACTCAGAAAATACGATTCTTACACTCAATCATGTGTTAAAAATGCTATTAATACTATTATTCACGAAGCGGACATATGAAAATATCAGATGTATAGACCAGGATATTACACACAACCACCCACTACCACGTCATCTATAACTTCCGGTGAAAATCTGCAGAACACACAATTTACTCCTGCTACTACTACAGAACATCAGACTTTAATTTTGGTGACAGCTCCGTTATTTAAATATGAGGCAGATAAATAAACAATTTAATTGCTTAATTACCATGATTTTTATTAACCTTAACGTAATCACTGAGGGCGTCTATAATTGCATCACACGTTTCTGGAACTATAATTGATATAGATTGTTTCGAAACTCTAAAAAGATATTGAAGACTCACTGACCTCTATATATACAAGTACGCTGGACTGGCTATAAACCGTGACATGATGAAGCGATTTGATTTCCGCCATTTTGGCACCGACAGCAGAAGTGCACGTCCACGAAACTAATAATAGGGATAAGACAGTGTGACAATATATATCGATAAAAGTTCTGTACCCTAACTATACCTAAATAAATAGAATGGACTCTGTGGATAGATGGACTACCCGTAACGTCCATTCTGTTTATGTATCATATTGATATAATGCCATTATCATTCATCATCATTAAAGCCCTTCACAAGTCCACTGCTGAACAAGGAATGCCACAAAGAACGGTCCTGAGCCACTTGCATCCGTCAACTTCCTGTATCTTACCAGGTTTTCACTCCATCTAGTTGGGGAACTTCCGACACTTCACCTGCCGGTACGAGGCTGCCACTCGAGAACCTTTTTTCCGCATCGATATTCGGTTCTTCGAGCTATATGGCCGGTCAATTTCCACTTTAGCGTACTAATCCATTGGTCGATGTCACTTTGGTTCTGCTGCAGATATCCTCATTCCTAAGTTTGAACCCCTGAGCATAGCCCTCTTCATAGCTCGCTGAGCGACTTCGAGCTTCCTCATACGGCCAGCAGTGAAAGACCTCGTCTCAGATCCATAGGTCATCACTGGCAACACGGACTGGTTGTACAATCTAGTTTTAAGGTATTCCTAACGAGAAGATGTGTTGTAATCTCACGAACGCTGCCCAGCCGAGTTGAATTCGTCGATTGACCAGTCGGTCGAAGTTGAACTTACCTAGTCGGACTATTTGTCCCAAGTAAAAATACTCGTCACCAACTTCAGCTAAGTGCTCCCAAAAACCACCGGCATAGGTGTGACATGGATATTACACATGACTTTTGTTTCTTCCGTGTTCATCTTAAGACCTATTCGTTGGGAGACACTATTGAGGTTATTGAACATAGTGTGTAGGTCCTTCAGCGATTCTACCACAAGGACTATATTGTCGACAACTCTGAGTGACGTACAAGCTATTGACGTTAATACCGTATCTATGGAGTGTAGAAGTAAGGAGTACAGACTGTGTATTAAAAAGTGTCCACAAAAACCATTAAATAAGGGTACTACCACTATAACTACGGGGTAAATTTTAAAGAACGCATCGAAAAATATTAGTGGGATAGACGACTTTTTCCAGGTTATATTTACTAAATAAAATTATTTTAGATTTTAGAGCTACTGAGCAGTTTAGCACCACACTTAAACCGTCGACAACTGCTAAGTTCATTTCATCCCAGTGGGTACTCCAGCGCTGTTGTGAAGTTTTTGAACTGTTATTTACTGCTTACAGGTGGCCACTTTTTCAACTATTCTACTATGGAAATTGGTACTCCTTACTTCTACACTCCGTAACCGTATCCTTTCCAGTCCAGTAGCTTGAAGACGTCTTCCAATGCAGCGGTAAAGTATTTCGGGGATATTACGTCACTCTGTCTTACACATCTCTACAGTTGAATTAGTTTTGTACTCTGGTTCTGTACTCGGATAGCCATCGTAGCCCTTAGACCATTCAACTAAAAAATTATTAAGATTAAACGATCTACACAAAATAAAAATAAAAAACATAATTTCTAAAATAATTTATTGTCAACCGTTCATTTCGTTGTAGTATTGTAAAGAAAAACAAATCAGCTGCTATAATAACGCTTATTGTAATCAACTACAGGTCTGTCTATAAACAGTAAAATATTTTCTACTATATAAAAATTTATGTTTGTTTGTACCTTCTACGATGCCATACCGTTCATCAGAATTCATTAAAACTTAGTCAACTTATTGGTTGCACTTGTGCGAAGGTTATACGCATGGTACAATTAACTGACACTAAGTGGCGTGCGTATTATACTTACTATTTATTTGAAAGTTATAGAAAGTTATATATCATTATATTTCAATGATTGTATTATCATTCCTAATTATACAATATAACTGTTCCACATTTTTAACGATATTTCCACAATTATTTCTTCTGCGGCAGCAATGCGCCGGGTACGAACTAGCAAGATAATATAAAAAAATAAACTTTGAATAACATAGTTATCAGTTATTTACAACGTCATTTTCGAAATTAAAATTACAATATTAAAAAAAATTACTGAAATCATCATACGGTCCTACTTTCCGTGGTATCGTCCCAAGAAGCAAGCAGGGCCACGGAAACGCTTTCATGCACATCCGGGGACCCTCGGGCGCCAGCCGCCCAATGGCAGTCTCTCCTTAGTTGCTGATTTCTCCCCGTTTTCTTTCTCAGATAAGGCGCACCAGAAACACAAGCTACACTGCCCTTCGCGGCCTCTAACTCCACCTGCACTACGAACTCCACGAGCCGGATATGTGAATGGAGCCACGGAAAAACGAGCACTTGGAAACATCAAGTGGTGCAGCCTCACCAAAGTCGCGAAAGATAGTTGAGTGGCGCATCACCAATCGCCATACCAACACTCCTCTTCCCTTATTACTCCACCTCAACTACAGCGGTTTAGGGAGAGGAATCTCCTCTAGCCGCAGCCCACTAACACACATCCAACGTGGCTCGACATCAACAGGCGACCTTTCGACACTTGGCTATGGCCCTTGAGTTTGGTGGAAAATGAGGAAAGAAGAAATAAAAAAAACATTCCAAATAATAATCTAATACTTTTATACTTACTGGTACTGACCAGAAAACATTGTCGTATACTGCACTTTTTCAAAGTGGTGCAGTTCTCATGTCTAATAAAACAGTAGTCTGTGAAATGTTTGGAACAAATATGATCATTTTGTTTCGGACGCCAATTCACAATATTTATGCTTTTAAGCCATAATTTTAGTCTAGGTTCTGTTGGAAACCTTAAACATTTGATAAAAATCTGTTGTTGGCGACTTTGTTTGTTAACAGATATGGGTAGGAAAGAACATCGATAAGTATTATATACAAGATAGACAAGGAACTCGACAACCCTATTGAATGTTATTATTTATCAAAACTCAGTAATATAATATAACAGCCAAACATGTTGGTATATATGATATTAAGATTAGTAACAAAATTTTAAGTACTTATATTATCAAATAGTTTTAATTTGTTAAATATTAGCTGCAAATTCACTTACTTGTGTAATGTTATAAAACTTCCCTTTTGGTAACGAGTTTTACGGATTACGCTCACTCTCATTATTATTAAAATAATTTTTAATATGCAACTAATATTATACACAATCAAACAACACAAAATACTATCGTTTTTTTAGTTTTTAAAGTTCAAAATACAGACTTTTTAAATATGACAATATAAATAAGACAACAGACTTTGGCATATTATGTCAATTTTATTTTTCAAGACATCCTTTAGCGGCGCTTCAAATTGGCACAGTCATTTAGTATGGTATAGCCAGTCCAGCGTACTTGTATATATAGAGGTCAGTGTGAAGACTGCTATAGGAGTATCCTGTTGACAAATATCTCAATGTTAGCAGCACTCTTTCGGATACATTTATTGCTTCTCTGTAGTTATAGTCCACCAAATCTAAGAAATACATTTTGACACCTGTCAGACTTATTGCACCAAGCATGCCAACCAAAAAATTGGAACGTACAATATTCGGTTCTTAAAAAAACCGATATCGATTATTTAGAGTTGGTAATCATTTAGTTTGGTTTGAATAATACTAGAATAAATTAAAAACGGATAATTTAAAACACAAGATTTATCAGTTTCTTCATATTTGTTGTTACTGCTTATTTCTAGAGGCACAGTTATAAAAATTTAAGATTGAAACTAGATTAAAAATAAATTTATTCTATTTATCACTTTCAGTAAAACTAGTAGATATGTCGTTGTTCATATTAATTATTTGATTTTCAATAATGCAGACAATATTAATGTCTCTTTCAAAGTCATCCATAATCAATTTTTTTCAACGAATATATTTTTTTTATAGCATTGCGTGACAAACGAGCACACAGTCCACCTGATGGTAAGTGGATGCTATGGCCCATGGACATAGATATTTATTCTCGATTAAGAATCACAATGCTAATGCGTTGTCACCCCAGAGGATTAAAAGCCGTTGTTTCTGCGTCGGATCTATATCCAGCAAGTTGGCAATATTTCAACCCCGCGCATCGGAAAGCGCGTAAAGTCGTTGTTTCTACGTCTCATCTCTCTCCAACAAGTTGGCATTGTTTCAACCCCGCGCCTCGGACAGCACGTAAAGTCGTTGTTTCTACGTCTGATCTCTCTCCAGCAAGTTGGCGGTGTTTCAACCCCGCGCCTCGGAAAGCACGTAAAGCCATTGTTCCTACGTCTGATCTATCTCCAGCAAGTTGGCAGTGTTTCAACCCCGCGCCTCGGAAAGCACGTAAAGTCGTTGTTTCTACGCCTGATCTCTCTCCAGCAAGTTGGCAGTGTTTCAACCCCGCGCCTCGGAAAGCACGTAAAGTCGTTTTTTCTACGTCTGATCTATCTCCAGCAAGTTGGCAGTGTTTCAACCCCGCGCCTCGGAAAGCACGTAAAGTCGTTGTTTCTACGTCTGATCTCTGTCCAGCAAGTTGGCAGTGTTTCAACCCCGCACCTCGGAAAGCACGTAAAGTCGTTGTTTCTACGTCTGATCTCTGTCCAGCAAGTTGGCAGTGTTTCAACCCCGCGCCTCGGAAAGCACGTAAAGTCGTTGTTTCTACGTCTGATCTCTCTTCAGCAAGTTGGCAGTGTTTCAACCCCGTGCCTCGGAAAGCACGTAAAGTCGTTGTTTCTACGCCTGATCTCTCTCCAGCAAGTTGGCAGTGTTTCAACCCCGCACCTCGGAAAGCACGTAAAGTCGTTGTTTCTACGTCTGATCTCTGTCCAGCAAGTTGGCAGTGTTTCAACCCCGCGCCTCGGAAAGCACGTAAAGTCGTTGTTTCTACGCCTGATCTCTCTCCAGCAAGTTGGCAGTGTTTCAACCCCGCGCCTCGGAAAGCACGTAAAGCCGTTGTTTCTACGTCTGATCTATCTCCAGCAAGTTGGCAGTGTTTCAACCCCGCGCCTCGGAAAGCACGTAAAGTCGTTGTTTCTACGTCTGATCTCTGTCCAGCAAGTTGGCAGTGTTTCAACCCCGCACCTCGGAAAGCACGTAAAGTCGTTGTTTCTACGTCTGATCTATCTCCAGCAAGTTGGCAGTGTTTCAACCCCGCGCCTCGGAAAGCGCGTAAAGTCGTTGTTTCTACGTCTGATCTCTGTCCAGCAAGTTGGCAGTGTTTCAACCCCGCGCCTCGGAAAGCACGTAAAGTCGTTGTTTCTACGTCTGATCTCTCTCCAGCAAGTTGGCAGTGTTTCAACCCCGTGCCTCGGAAAGCACGTAAAGTCGTTGTTTCTACGCCTGATCTCTCTCCAGCAAGTTGGCAGTGTTTCAACCCCGCGCCTCGGAAAGCACGTAAAGTCGTTGTTTCTACGTCTGATCTATCTCCAGCAAGTTGGCAGTGTTTCAACCCCGCGCCTCGGAAAGCGCGTAAAGTCGTTGTTTCTACGTCTGATCTCTGTCCAGCAAGTTGGCAGTGTTTCAACCCCGCGCCTCGGAAAGCACGTAAAGTCGTTGTTTCTACGTCTGATCTCTCTCCAGCAAGTTGGCAGTGTTTCAACCCCGTGCCTCGGAAAGCACGTAAAGTCGTTGTTTCTACGCCTGATCTCTCTCCAGCAAGTTGGCAGTGTTTCAACCCCGCGCCTCGGAAAGCACGTAAAGTCGTTGTTTCTACGTCTGATCTATCTCCAGCAAGTTGGCAGTGTTTCAACCCCGCGCCTCGGATAGCGCGTAAAGCCGTTGTTTCTACGTCGGATCTATCTCCAGCAAGATGGCAGTTTTTCAACCCCTGCCTGGGTGGTTGTTGTTTGATCTCTCCATTCGTGTTGGATTACCGTCCCATCGGTTTTAGATAGAGTGGGAATAGAGAGTGTAAAAAAGATGACGGTGACGTAGGTAAAAGAACATTATCTTATAAAGTTTGCAAGCCTTTGTTTGGCTTAATGCACACGATCTCATTTTATTAAATGCTTCTTCCGTTCGTTTTTCGAGGCATAGCATTATATGTGCCAATTTGTTTGATAACTTGTTGCGATCTTGTAGGTAGTGCTATAATCCCGTTGCTGTAGAAATTTTGGGATTTTTGATGAAAACAATGCGACAAGTAAGTTGTACAGTCCCCTCTGGGTGTTAACCTAACTATCCAAAGAATTCTAAAGAGACCGAAACAGGAGGTCAAAATCTGAAGAATCATTTTCTTGCAATATCCTGTGAGTTGCACTTTTGGGCACTCCAGTCCTTAATTTTATTGCACGCACTGAAGTAATCGGGTCTTCTTCGACAGCTTCTAGCACAACGTTTTTCTTAACCTGGTAGAGTCATGCTGCAGCTATATCAGTAACATAGTTGTAGCACGAATGGGTCGGCGCGACCGGGGAGGGTCCACGCTCTCACAGAATACCAGCGTCTGCTGTTTCTTATGGTGAGTGTAGAGAACTGGAGATCCATTTTACTGGAAACGAGGCATTCCGTCTTAGGGTCACCGCTCATTAGAGCCACCCGGCACTCGACCCTCACCGCCTCTGTCAACTACGAGTGGTCGCCAGGCGTCCACTCTTAGTCGACAGGTGGACCACGGGTGGACGCCGCGTTGTCAGCAGTCAACTCGCGTCATCAACTAGTGGACCTCGCGTGATCAATGAGTGACCCTTAAATCATACCATAAATTATACTTCCAAACTTCTTCTATACGTTTTTCTTTGTTCATTTTAAAAATAAACAACAATGCATCCGACACATTCGAAAGGAAGGCTCAATATGAAGGGTTGGTGGAGAGCGCCGCACCGCACTCGCGTGAACCGCGAGGTAAACATGCCAACAGCGAGCTATCATCGAGTGGTCCGCTCGCAGTCCGCGCGTGGACACCTCGCGAGCGAGGCGATCCGGTGATGGTACGGATTTAATTTAGTGAGTACAGGCCCATACGAGTCCATACGAAGAATACGAACCGCTCGAGGCGAGGCGGTGAGGGTCGGGTGCCGGGTTGCTCTAATGAGCTGTGACCTTTAGTCCTCACGGGTGATAACGCATCTGCATTTTGATTCGTAATCGAGGATAAATGTAGATTTCTATGTGCCACAGCAACCACTTACAATCAGGTGGACTGTGTGCTCGTTTGTCACCCTTACCCCAAAAAAACGTCCTCGTAAGGGAGGAAAAGCCGTCCACCTGTCGACTAAGAGTGGACGCCTGGCGACCACTTGTAGTCGACAGAGGCGGTGAGGGTCGAGTGCCGGGAGTGGCTCTAATGAGCTGTGACCCTCCGAAACGAGGGAAAGAGCCGTGGTAGCTCAGTGGTTAACGCACACTGTAAATATAACAGAACGCGAGTAACCCTGGTTCGATCCCCGCCGGCACCAATGAAATTGTTAATTGCAATTTTAAGTGTTGATTTACCACGTGCTCGGCGCTGAAGGAAAACATCGTGAGGAAACCTGCATGTCTGAGGAATAAGAAAAAAAAATATTTCGAAGACATGTGAAGTTCGTCAACACGCATTTGGGCAGCGCGGCGGACACTTCCTTGCCCTAAACCCTCTCAAAAATAAGGGGGAGGCCTGAGCCCAGCAGTGGGACGTATATAGGTTGTAACTTTACTTTATTTCATTTTGTGTAAATAGGATCCAGTTAATAGGACCAATAGACTGTATCTTAAGACTTTCCAGCTCTACTATTGATAGATTACAAAGGCTTAGATTTGATGCGAAGTTCATATTGTTCAAGTTGTTCTATGCATGTGTTTTCAGGATACTGCACGATATCATTTTCCTCACACAGGAACTGGTTTGCTTCTATCTCCTGACATGGGCCATTTAAGGATAAGTACGTGTGACCTTTCACGATGAGGTAAGGATATTTGGGAAAAATAACAGTTGTTCTATTATAGGTGGGATCAAACATAGGTAAAGCATACATTTTAAAATAAGTGTATGTAATATTGTCAGTCAGAGGGACTTCCATAATGAACGTTATTTGGTTTTCTTTTTACATAGGTCTTAACAGACATAGATCTTTCTAAATTAACTAAATTGTTTTCAGTAATAGGATACAATAAACTATTTGTTTGAGATATAGATTCTAATATAACTAATAATTCAGTGGAATTAACAATGGCTTGATGTAGAACGTGAAGTTTAGTAACTGCTAATGCCGTTTCATTTTCGCTTAAAATTAAGTATATAGTTTTAAAATTATTGACAAACATGTTAAACATACTTAAAACATATGTGGAGTATATGCTGTTATCGTCTTTAGTAATTATGTATTTTACAATTCTTTCTATACGTTTCATTCGTTCATTTACAATATTCATATTTTCCTGTAGAGATCCTTACTCCTGGTGTTGGTGAAGAGTTGCCACCTTATGTTTCATTGTCTGCACCATCATCGCACTTATCTGCTCACCCCAAAGTGCTTTCTCCTGCGGTTGAGGAAGAGATGCCACCTTATGTTCCATCGTCTGCACCATGCTCTAACTTACCTGTTAACCCTGAAGTGCTTACTCTAAGTACAGTTACACCAGGGTGTTGGTAAAGAGTTGACACCTTATGTTCCATTGTCTGCACCATCATCTCACTTACCTGCTCACCCCGAAGTGCTTGCTCCTCCGGTTGATAAAGAGATGCCACCTTATGTTCCATTGTCTGCACCATGCTCTAACTTACCCGCTAATCCTGAAGTACTTGCTCTTGGTATCGGTGAAGAGTTGCCAGCAGGTTTTTCACAGTCTTCACTAATCAGTAACTTACCTGCTGATTTACCAACTTATGCTGAATTACAGGCACGGAATAGAATGTGGACTACTAAAGTTGAAAATTTCGAGGAGTACAGTTTTAATAAGGAAATGGAACCCACTAAATCATATAACCATAAAAGTCTCCCTATTGAATATTTTAGTAATTTGTTCCCAGATGAGCTTTTTAAAATGATCGTCAAATATACAAATAAATATGCAGCGTTGAAACAAAGCAAATTCTGGACAGACACTAATGTTAATGAAATAAAAGCATTTCTAGCGATAATCATTCTAATGGGAATAAGCTCTCAGTCAGATATCGAGTTGTATTGGAGTGCAGATCCGTTTTATAAGAACATAGAAATAAGTAGCACAATTAATTGCAAAAGATTCAAAAAAAATTCTAGAAAATTTTCATGTTTGCGACATTACAACTCATTTGTCCAGGGATCACAAAGACCATGACAAACTTCAAAAAATAAGACCACTGCTAACTTATCTAAACATGACATTCCAAGAGAATGCTACCAACTCGCAAATCCAGTCAGTGGATGAAAGTATGATTAAATTTAAAGGCCGTGACTGTAAAAAACAGTATATGCCAGCTAAACCCATCAAGAGAGGTTTCAAGGTGTGGTGTCTGATGTGATGCAAAAAGTGGTTACCTCTACCAGTGTGATATTTATGCAGGCAAAGACCAAGAACTTAATGAGGAAGGCTTAGGTTACAGAGTTGTAATGAAACTAGGAGGAAATTTACCACCAAATACACATTTGGTGTTTGACAATTTTTTTACCTCTGTAGTTCTTATGGAAAGTCTTTATTATAGAGGGATTCTGGCTACAGGAACAGTCCGAATGCTACGTAAAAATCTTCCTAAAGAGTTGTCTACACGAAAACCTAAAACTCCTGGAGAAAGAATACTGGCAAATGAAACTAAATTGAATCCTGGAGAGTTTACATACCGCTTCTGTCATCCTTGTGCTGTGGTCAAATGGAAGGATACCAAAGATGTGCATGTTTTGTCGACGGCAGTTAACCCAACCAAAGTTGAAGTAATCCAAAGGACTCAAAAAAACGGGGAAAAGAAAGATATGTTCTGTCCATCTATAATTGCAGAATATACAAGAAGTATGGGTGGCGTGGACCATTTCCATTCCACCATTATCGAAGTTCGTACGCAATTGGCCGCAGGTCAAAAATGTCATGGTTCCGCCTGTTTTGGTTTTTGTTCGAGAGTGCTATTATTAACGCATACATTTTATATAAACACAAACACGAAAATCGTCAAAACATACACCGAGATTTTAGATTACGTTTAGCTAGAAGCTTAAAATCGGCACATATCTCAAACAAAAAACAAAATCCATTGGTATTCAGAAACAAAAAGGGGGGTGTTTTTGGGGTTCCAGGTGAAATTAGATTGGGGCAAACGGGATATCACTATTTGAAACTTTCTACGTACAAACATTGCAGGTTTTGTAGTACAAGAAAGCAAGAAAAGCGATCAAAATATGAATGCGAAATTTGTGGGGTAGCATTGTGTGTTACACCTTGTATGAAAATGTACCACCAACATCAAAATCCTATAGAATAAGACCTTTCTATTCGATTCTTATCTTAATTTTTTATGACAGTAAAGAATAAGTAAATAATAATAATTCCTATAAAATAATAACTCTATAGGAATTATTATTTACTTACTCTTTACCTTTCTGTTCGATTCTTATCTTATTTTTTATGACAATAAAGAATAAGAAAATAATAATAATTCCTATAAATTATTAACTCTATCGGAATTATTATTTACTTATTCTTTACCTTTCTGTTCAATTCTTATATTATTTTTTATGACAATAAATAATAAGGAAATAATAAAATTTTTCATTTCATTTTAAGGTCTATAACATAAACTAATAAATAAATATCAAACATAAAAAGTAGTAAAAATGCAGGCATGCTCCAACTTAGGCCACATCATCAGGTGACCACCAACAGGTGAGATTGCGGTTAAACGCCTGTTTAGTCCGATATAAAAAAAACTCAACAGACAAACTCATTGTCATTTATATACAGGTTGTCCGGTTTCCGATGTCCGATACTTTAAGGGGTTAAAATACATTTAATTTTATCGACAAATCAGGGATCAATGTTTTTTTTTCGCCATCAATAAAAAAATGGCAGCACTTTAAAAAAAATTGTTGGCGAAGCATAGATACTTGTATTAATTTAACAATATCTACCCAAGTAGAAGACTTTCAAAAACAAAATTGGTCTCAAATGTTAGTTAATAGTGTAGACAATAAATCTAGATTCAAAATATTATTTTTTAATTTTTCAGTATTAGTAAAAAACATTTTTGAAAAAATAAATTAGACAACAAATTGATGTTGTTTTTCAGATTCTTAGCTTTAAAAAAAACCATCGTGTTAACCAATTTTTTTTACTTGTTTTTATTATAATACTGGATATTTGCTATAAATGCACATTTAAATCTTAACTCTGAGTTAGATAGTTTAGGAGCTATGATAATTTGAATGTAACTGTTCAAAGTGCCTCTACCCCGATATTAGATAACTAAACACCCATTCCAGTGAGTAAGATAAAATTCTTCAATAATTCAAGGAATCGTATGCAAGCACAATAGCATCCTTTGTGTGAGCAGGTAAAAAACGCTGTGCACAACAGTGCGAGCGAGACAGAATAACGGCTGTCTCCAGGTAAAAAGGGTGCACTGTGCGCTTGTGCCGTCGAGCAGTCGTCCCTCGCTCTGCGTTGTGATAACATTCCTGGTTTTAAGTAAATCTACTTACTGTACATAATTGTTTGTTGTTAGACTTTGTTACGTTTTTGTTTTGTTGTTGAACTGTTACTTTTTGTTTATTACAATGAACGAGTACTCAAGCCAGCATATCTCTGACATCCATTTCGTGTATGGATTGTGTAACGGGAGTGCAAATAGAGCTGTTGTAGAGTATGCACGCAGATTTCCTAACAGACGTACGCCGAATGCTCGCACTTTCGTGAGAATTCATTTGAGACTTGCGGAAAATGGAATAAGAAGGCTCGGTAACGAACGTACTCGTGTTTTGTCGCTCCAAGATGAACATCAAATATTGCAAATGATTACTCAAGACCCTAGCCTGAGCATTAGACGCATAGCTAATCGTCTCAGTCTATCAAAATGGTCGGTGTGGAAAATTTTAAAAAGAGAAGGATTACATCCTTACCATTTTCGAAGGGTGCAAGAAATACTGGAACCGGATTATGTAAGAAGAGCAATATTTTGTTCGTGGATATTGAGAGAAACGCGATATGATCCAAACTTTTTAAAAAGAATTATGTGGACAGACGAAGCTACTTTCACGCGATCAGGGTATACGAACTACCGTAACGAACACCTGTGGCTTCAAGAAAATCCACATGCGATCCGCCCAAGTTCTTTTCAACATAAATTTTCTGTCAACGTTTGGGCCGGAATGATTGACGACATTCTAATTGGACCAATCATTTTACCGGAGACAATGAATAGCCCAAGATTCCTAAATTTCCTGGAAACGAATTTTTTGGATGCTTTATTGGAGTTACCATTGGCCTACAGGGCCAGAATGATTCTGCAATTGGATGGTGCTCCGGCACACTTCGCACTTCTTGTGCGGAATCATTTAAATGCACACTATTCGTCATGGATCGGACGCGGAGGAACAATTGCTTGGCCACCGCGGTCGCCAGATTTAACGCCTCTCGATTTTTTTTTGTGGGGCACACTCAAACGAAGAGTGTATGTAAATGTGCCAAATACACGAGAGGAGTTAGCAGAAAAAATAATTCAAGCAGCAAACGAATTGCGAGAAGACAAGGCAATGATCCAGCGCTCTACGCAACACGTTGCACTAAGAGCAACAGCATGTCTGCAGAGACAAGGAGGTCACTTTGAGCAGTTTTTGTAATTATTTTGCCAAATTAAATGCAATTGATATAAATTATTTTGTTTTATTTCATTTGCCAGTGTATCCGCGCTTTTCAAGTAAGTATGTTTACACTGTCATAGCTCCTAAACTATCTAACTCAGAGTTAAGATTTAAATGTGCATTTATAGCAAACATCCTGTATTATAATAAAAACAAGTAAAAAAAATTGGTTAACACGATGGTTTTTTTTTAAAGCTAAGAATCTGAAAAACAACATCAATTTGTTGTCTAATTTATTTTTTCAAAAATGTTTTTTACTAATACTGAAAAATTAAAAAATTATATTTTGAATCTAGATTTATTGTCTACACTATTAACTAACATTTGAGACCAATTTTGTTTTTGAAAGTCTTCTACTTGGGTAGATATTGTTAAATTAATACAAGCATCTATGCTTCGCCAACATTTTTTTTAAAGTGCTGCCATTTTTTTATTGATGGCGAAAAAAAAATCATTGATCCCTGATTTGTCGATAAAATTAATTTTATTTTAACCCCTTAAAGTATCGGACATCGGAAACCGGACAACCATTGTATATAGTCAATCTCAATCTCAAGGCGGGCAATGGGATTATGTTTTCCCACATGTTTTTTTTTTTCATGTTTTTAGCATTTTTTTTCAGTTTCAGTGATGCAATATGAAACAGAGCCTTTATAAGTATACAAATCCATAAAAAGAAACAATGTTGCTACGGCAGTTCTCTGGGGCCTGGTAAAGGGTTAAAAAGTCGCCTGAATGGGTGCCAAAATAATCAGGAACAATTAAAAATGGATATTTTGGCTAAACATAGATCAGCTAGAAATTTTCATAAATTTTGGCAAGCTACAGGAAGGCAAGAGGTTAGGCCTGGTCTCCCAGTGAGTGTGGGCGGGGTTAATGATCCTACTGATATAGCTAACATGCTTAGAGATCATTTCAGGGTGCGCTCGCCGCTTGGCTCCTCGACCGCGTCTAGTAATTCTATGCCCGGTTGCTTAAGGGGTGGACCGCCAGTAGATATCACTGCAAAGCAAATTAGGCATATATTAAAGATCATCATCAGCCTGCGGCAGTCCACTGCTGCACATAGGCCTCTCCCAAGACGCGCCACTTAGCCCGATCTTCGGCTACACGCATCCAGTTTCTACCAGCCACCTTGTGCAGATCGCCGCTCTATCTGATCAGGGGGCGTCTCACACTACGTTTGCCTAGACGCCACGTCTCCACTCCACAACACGTCTACTCCACCGGTTGTCACTTCTGCGACAGACATGACCAGCCCATTGCCACTTCAGCTTACAAACACGGAAAGCTATGTCAGTAACCTTGGTTCTCCGGCGGATTTCTTCATTTCGAATTTTGTCTACCAGAGAAACTCCGAGCATAACTCTTTCCATTGTTCGCTGAGGGACTTTAAGGTTTTGGAGTTAACGTATTGTCAGTGTCCACGTTTCGACACCATAAGTGGGTACGGGCGGAACGCACTGGTTGAAGACTTTTGTTTTCAGACTTTGCCGTATGGGCGACGAGAAAACCCGACGGAGCTTTCTAAATACTGCCCAGCCCAACTGAATCCTCCGATCGGCTTCCTTCTCGAAGTTATTCTTACCTCTGCTAATCTAATATCTGCCCGAGGTAGGTATTTTCCTGGACAACTTCGAGAATTTCACCATCAACAGTAATTGGAACTGGCGTGACGTAATCGTTAAACATAACTTTTGTCTTGTTCAGATTTATGCACAGACCAACACGTTGGGAGGATTCATTTAGTCTGTTCAGCATATCCTAAAGTTCCTGCAGCGATTCTGACGACGGCGATATCATCAGCAAAGCGTAAGTGTGAGATGTACTCACCGTTTACAGTCTAACGTCTTAAAAACATCTTCCAGTGCATTTGTAAACAGTTTAGGGGATATAACATCCCCCTGGCTCACTCCGCGATGCAACTGGATTGGTTTTGTTTGACTGTCCTGTACTTGGACGGACATGGTATGGTGTTGTAAAGGCATCTCAGCACTTCGATATACCGCCAGTCAATTTGGCACCGCTGCAAAGAATCTAGAACAGCCCAAGTTTCAATGAAGTCAAAGGCTTACTCATAGTCCACAAAAGACACAGGGGCTGATTATACTCTGTTGTCTGCTGTATAATTTGCCGCACTGTGTAAATGTGGTCTATAGTGCCAAAACCTCCTCGAAACCCAGCCTGTTCCGCAGGCTGAAAGTCGTCGTGCCTTAGCGCGAGTCGATTTGTGATGACCCTCGAAAACAACTTATAGACGTGACTCAGAAGCGAGATGGGTTGATAATTTTTAGCATAATCTTGTCACCTTTCTTGTGAAACAAGACTGTAATGCTTTTGCTCCACGCCTT